AAGGAATTCATATATTTCTGTATTACAGAAAGCAAACTGTCTAAAGTTTAGAATCAGGTGAAGTTAATTCTATCAGAAGTACTGTAATACATGGCAGATACTTAGGAATAGAGGTGGAAATTAAAGAGCAGAGAAAGGAAAAAAAGCTGGACATGGTAAAAAACTTTCTGTAAGCAAAATGATACAAAAGGAACTTCAGCAAATTTGCACATGTACTTAATAGGATAACATTTGTAAAATTTCAAACCATTTGCTGTTGGCAACAGTGCTTTTAAAAAAACCACTAACCCATGCTGTTAACTATCATAAAAAAACCTTTATACTGGCAAGAGAGATGATGCTCCCACAAAGTTCTTCAAATATAATGATGATGCAAGAAGGACCCAAAGGAGAACTATTTCATGCTCTTTCCAAGTTCTGATTTTATAATCTTATCAAGACTGTGAAAGCAAAGCGATACTGTAGACAGAAGATGGACTTTAGAGTCATACAGCAATTTCAGTACATATTTATATCTGTTTAACACAGCCTTCAGGGAATGGAAATTTGCCAGGCCAGAAATTCCAAATTCACACCAAAACAAATGGGAATTGCAAGTCTTAGCAGCAAGTAAGACTGAATCTGTGGAAATGCAGGTCTGAAAATAATTGAGAAGAACATTACACCTTCAGCAGCCCTTGGTTGTACGTCTGTATGGTTAGTCTAAAACTTAGATGCAGAAGAGCATGAAAATCTACAGCTCAATGAAAAGATGGTTTCAAAGGAACATTTGATCCTTCTTGGCCCAGTTACAGGAATACAACTAAGAAATTGTTCCATGGAAATCAATGTGGTTGTAACAATGGAATCTCAGCAAAGTCACAAAAATATATGAGCCCACAGGATACAAGACTGTCATAAAAAATACAGTCTATTCCACCTGTTTCAACATTCCCAAAAAAACACCGGAATTTTAAGATAAACTTTGTGTATTCTCACCCTGCATTGCAAATAAGGCCTTCCTTGGGGATCTGAAAGCTCAGCTGTCACAGGCACATGCACAAAACTACAAAAAGATTCCCCAGGAGATGTCTGATATTTGCAAACCATATCCTGGGCTGCATCAGAACCAGCACAGCCAGAAGGTGGAGGACAGTGATTCTGCCCCTCCACACCGTTGACATTCCACCTGCAGTGCTTCATCCAGCTCTGTGGGGCTCCCCAGCACAGATGGTGAGAACATGGATGGGCTGGAGCAGGTGCCAAGGAGGGACACCAAGATGATGCGAGGGCTGGAGCACCCTTCCTGCAAGGAAAGGCTGACACAGCTTGGCTTCTTCAGCCTGGAAAAGAGACTTAGGCTTAGGCTTGCCCAAACTGTGGCCTTCCACTGGTGGCAACCTACCAGAAAGCTGGACAGGGACTTTGTATGAGAGCAGGACAAGGGAGAATGGATCCAAATGGAAAGAGAGTAGGTTTAGATGAGGGATGCAGAAAAAAGACTCTCGTGCAACAGGTTGCCCAGAGAGGTGTGGATGTCCCATTCCTGACAGTTTTCAAGGCCAGTCTGGATGAAGCTCTAGACAAGCTGGTGTAGTGCAAGGGGTCCCCAGCCACAGCAGGGGTGTTGCAATGATGTGATCTTTCAGGTCCCTTCCAAGCCAAACCATGCCATAACTCCATGATTCTGGAATACTTCCCCTCCTCATCCTCTGGCAGCAAAAGAAACTTGGGACCAAGTTCCATAATGCAGACTCTGTCTTTTGGCAGCCTGCAACTGTGTCAACAGAGGATGAAAAGAGCTGATATTACTGACACGATTTCCCTTTTCTACTTGAAAATTAAAGGCTCCACTCCAGTCCACTCTGGCACAACATCAGGACAGGGAATTCTTCCAGGGAAATGCGTCATCTCACCCAAAGAAGAAGATAGACACAAGCCAACACTTTTATTCATTTCTGTATTGATTTATTCGGTTATTTCTTTCACAGGTATTTCTTTATTTCTTTCGTTCCGCGGGGCGCGCGGCCGCTCCTCTGTTGGGTTCGCAGATGCAGCAGCAGCAGCAGCGCCTCTCTCGATCAGTTTTCCTCTCGACTTTCTGCTCGCTCTTCATCCCCTTCTCCCTCCCAACCCTTCCCACGCCCGTGCCGTACCGTCCGTGTTCCGCCGGCCGCGGTGCCGCCCCCGCCGGGCTCTCTCCGTCCCGGCTGTGGCACCGCTGGAATTGCCGCTGGCTCTGGTGCTGGCGGAGCTGCACGCTCTTCGGGCTCCGCCTGGCGCGGGCTCTGGGCCAGCCCCGGTCCCGAACGAAGCGCCTCCCGCGGTTCCGCCCGCTGCCGCCCGGCCCCCGTCCCGCCCCCGGCAGCACCAGCGCCTTCCCCGCTCCGAGCTCCGCCGCCCGTCAGCTCGGCCGCCGGCCCCGAGCCGCCGCAGCCCGGGGCGGCTCGGCAAGCGGCAGCGCGCCCGGCGCTCGGGCTCCCGGGGCAGAGCAGCGGGAGCGCGGTGCCGCCCGCAGGGGAGAGAAGCCTCCCCTGGAGCAGCTCTGCCGGGAGGGCTCTGCCGGGCAGCGGCGGCTGCGGCAGAGCTTGCTGCGGGACCCGGCTCGCCCACGGCGCCCCGGGAAGAGACCGGGTCGGAGTGGGACGGCGAGCTCAGCCCGGCGCTCGCCTTGGCTTGCAGGTGGCAATCAAAGGAGTGTCTCGGGATCGCATCTCGGAGCGGGCGGGGCTGGTGAGCGAGCGGGGCCAGCGGGAGCAGCCGGGCGGGGCTGAGGCGGGGCTGGGCAGGTGGGAGCCGGAGCTGCGAGGGGAGCGAGCGGGGAGCGAGCGGGGAGCGAGCGGGGCCGCGCAGCGTCCTGGGCCGGGCCATGGGAGCGGCGGTGGGGCCGGGCAGGGGTGCCCGAGGCGCGGCGCAGCATCGGCCCCGCTGAGCGCACCGCGGTGCCCCCGGAGCTGGCGCTGCTGTGGCTGCTGTCGTGCCCTGGCTTCCGCGGCGTCGTGCGGCTCCTGGACTGGTTCGAGATGCCCGACGGCTTCGCGCTGGGCACGGAGCATCCGGAGGCTGTCAGGACCCCTGGTACTTGCTGGCCGAGCGGGGGTTCCTGACGGAGCCCGGGGCTGTTCCGCCGGGTGCTGGAGGCCGTGCGGCACCGCACCTGCCCCGGCGTCCTGAACCGCGACATCGAGGCCAAGAATGTCCTCATCGACGAGACCAAAGCAGGTCTGATAGAAATGTCTTGAAGTGCCATTCAAGCTTTTGAAACCCAAGAAGACCGTCGTGATTCCCGAGTCCAGTCATACTGGTTCTGGTATCATGAAATCAACCAGGCTCTCCAAAAAACAGTAAATCATTGTGACTAAACCTCTGTCTCCTCGTTCTTTGCATTTACACCCCACTGTAGGAGGCTCTACAGCCTTTCCCCCCCGTCCTGTACTAGAGAGAGGACGGATATTAAGGGCACACACATGTACTGTCTTTCTGGTTCTTCAAAAAGATAAAAATGTCTGTAATAAAAATTACATAAGTAATATTGTCTCTCAAACTGTTCAAGAAAAGGGAAATTGGAGCTTTAATGTCCCACGGAGAGATGCTGAATAAAATCTTCCTCCTGAGTTTACTAACAATAATAAAATACTGTTTTTTGGACCAAGCAAGGTAGGTCTATATGAGAAGAGCTCAGGAGGCTTTCATAGCTCACAGTGATGAGAACGGAGCACAAAAGAACATTAAAGATGAAGTGTTAGTTCCCTAAATTAATGTCCTGATACAGCCAATTTTGTTTTGCTGAGAAACATAATAGTTTTTTCCCTTTGTTTCTGAGTTTCCGAGTCACCTTGTAATTCGTAACCTGCACCAACCTGACATGGCTAAGTGACAAATCCAGCTCCTGTGCTCTAAGCCACATGTCCCTGACGTGAAGGGAAGTCATGGATACAGAAACAGCCGTGGAAGAAAGATGAGAGAAAAATCAGAACAGATATTCTTCCATTTCCCCACAGTATTACCAAGCCAGGCTGCTTGGTACCTCCAGGAATATATTATCAAATGAGTTCTGTAACTCTTTTCCTAGCTGGAAAATCTGGAGTGGGTTTGCCCATGCAAAGCCAACAATCCTACTCACAAGAAAAAACAAACCAGTTTCCTGTTAGATAAAGCAGTTGGAAATCTGACCTGTCAGATGCTCTCACTGATCAGCAATAGGGATCAGCATCCAGGCCCAAGTGGAGCTGTTATTTTGCAGACTATTCTCCCTCTTGGACTTATATTTCTTTTATTCCTTTTGTTCAGTTTTAGTATCTGAAAGGGAAGTTTCTTAGAGGGAGTGGGACTGTTGTAGTGTCAGAAAACCTCACAGTGTGACCACGCTCTGTGCTTCCCACCCCTGCCCCCATCCCACCAAAGACACAGCTTCTGCTTTAGGAAGCCATGAACCTGTCTGGATATGGGAGAGCTGATTGAATGGATTTAAAAAGCCATGCAATTTCCTAGTTTCTCCCACCACTGCCTCGTAACACGAGTGATAAGAACAGGACAAGTCACCTGTCTTGTCTGCATCCTCTTCCACCGTTGCTGATAGGCACAGAGATTTCACAAGCTCGTGGAAGGTGCTGGACAGGCCCTGCTCCTCCATGAGCTGGGGCGTGATGGAACTGAGCCCACTGAGCTGCCTGGAGAGCCCAGCTGAGGTGCAGCTGGCCTGGCAGAGCCGGGTGTAAAGCTTGAAGAGGCTGTTCCTCAGCGTCTCATCCCTTTGCATCTCCCGCACGGCCGCCAGGTGTGGTAAGACGCGGTTCCGCAGCCACCTCGGCTCTGGTGACACGTCCTGCTCCTCGAGGGAACTCCCCCAGCCAGGGACCTCACCAGCCACTCAATAACTGTGTGAGTGGATGCACAGGTGACAGCCACTGCCTCAGCCCCAGGTTCACTGGCTCTGACGGTCTCCCCTCCCTCTGTGGAGGATGGTGCTGGGAAAACAGGGTCCTGTTATGAATGGGGTCCCATATGTCCAATTTCATAGATTGAAATTTAGCAGCAATTTTTAATTGGGGTACAATCAAATATAATGAAGTGGCTACAAAGAGTTATTTGGCAGTGGTTCAGATAAAGCGTAAGCGAAACCAGTCGGGGTACGGGGAGGGCTTTCCACCCTGCCATCTGTACAAAGGGCAAAAGAATCCAAGCACAACTTTTATACTGTATGCTAATACATAGTCAGCAATAGTTCCTCCTATTTTTGATTCTTGAAATCTACGTCACCCTACTGCACAGCACATGCTCCCATTGTTGTTAAGGGGTCTTCTGGTCTCTTTGGGGGTCTTCTTGGAGGAAGGCCGAAGGTCCTTCTGAATGACATGGCAGGTTGTGCATGCACATTGAGCTTGATGCATTATGTTCCAATTGAGCCTTATTATTTCATAGAAAAGACCACTATTTTAGGTTCCCTATCTGGAATGGTCCCAATTTTATTCATATTCAAAGTCAGTCCTGCTCTGGGAGGTATCTTTTATCTTCAGTTGATGCCAGTTTTGGTTTGGGAGTCAGTTCCTGACTTCCTCCATTCCCAAGGCTGAATCCAACTCCTGCATCCAACTTTCCATATTCTTGAAGACACCCATCTGCTTCATAACAATAATCACATATACTTTTCCAATTATTTTCCCAAATTATTGATATAAGTAAAACTTATTCAGCACAAATCACATCCATTTATCACAGTCCCAATGGGCAAGTATGGAATTCAGATGTTCTCTGCATTTCTCCAGCTCAGACGCTTCCATGTCTGCAGCGGTGTCATCTTCTTCCAGCCCGTTCTTTTTCCGAGTGTGACGATACACATGAGATGAGGCTTGAGGTTTGTTCTTGTCTTTAATATTTTCTGTAAGAAGATAACCACCACCAAAACAAACATCAGATACTCCAAAGGATTTTCCTGGAACAAAATTGTGCAAGTAAGGTGCTCTCCTGTGTCGATTCAGTTGTTACAATGGCAAGTAGCAGCCTCGTTTAGCAGCCTGATGGAGCCTGCGCTGTTCAAGGGGGCTCCAGGAGCTCTCAGGGAACCTTGTTCCAAATGGGATCGCCCAGCCTGGGCATGAGAGAAGCTCCTGAAGCCTGGAGCAACACAACCCACACATGCACTAAGCTACAGGCATCACTCCACAGACCCTATTCATGTATTTCTGAGGAGTTTTAAAGGGTGGAAAAACTGTAGAAAAGCTAAAGCTTTTACAGAATCCCTTAAATACATGATTTCTTAACTGATACAGAACATTTAAACAAACCTACAGAAGCTTTAATGTGCACTTAAAGCAGCTGCTGCTGCAGGAAACCAGTGTTGTTTTAAGACCTCCCACTCTCAAGTTCCTTGAACTTTTTGGTCACAGGAACAACTAGACACACAAGTCCTGGTTTTTTCTACTTTCTTCAAAATTGGTGACGAGATGCCAACTATTAACTTTTGCTTGCTTTATTTATTTATTGTTTTTACTTACACATCATTTTCAGATCCCCATCCACGCTCAGCACGATTCACACCTTTGAGCACAAAGCCTCCAGGCACTGCTTTTTCTTTTAAGATTTCATTAAAGAATACCCTTTTTCAAAGCCTGACTCAAGATTTGCCACTAAGTTTAATTTTAAAGCTCTTTCCCTTCACAAACTGTGCTTCTCCAAAGTTTCCAAACTGTGTCAAGGTTCAAAATCACCACAAGGAAGATCTGAAAAATGCCTTTCCATTTCCTTTCCTCCTCCCTCAAGGTACATCAGTCAGACAGAAGGTGTTAGTACTACTTCCAGAGAAGTTTGCCTCATTTGAACTGCTGGCCTGCAACAGCTACAACAAAATATACCTTCCCTGAAGTATTTCAGCACTTACTGAGCAATTCTTTGTTTTGGTCCTTCTGAGCCAGGGCTTGCAGGTTCTCCTGCAGCTGCAGGTCTTGGCTGACAAAGCTCCACTTGTGCAGCAGCAGCAGCTCCCTGCTGGAGGATGCTGTTGTTGACCCTGAAACACCTCATCCCCCTAAAAGCCTCCACAACAACAGCACGGTATTGCAGCAGGGGGCTGAGGGTGCTGAACAACTCATTCAGCTTGGCCAGATCTCCATTAGTCCTGGCAAAGGAAAACACAAGTGCCATGTGTGCAAATCCATCACTACAGCTCTTAATCCCTACTGTCAGAATGGCCAGGAATTAAGGACAAAGAACTTGACAGCAACTGTGTATTTTACTTTATTGCCCATTTATGTTTACAACATTTTACTTTATTGCCCATTTATTCAAACACCTAAATCTTCCAGTCAAAGAAATCTCATCCAAATTCACTACTCAACACAGAAACTGAAGGTAAAAAAGCCATCCATCTAGCAGAGATAAAGAAATCCTCCTGGCCTTAATAAAGTTCAAACTGGACAGAGGATGAAATGCAAACCAACTAAAACAAAAAAACAAAACAAAGGACTTACTGAACATGTTTGATTAACGTGACCAAAACACACAGAAATTCATTTACAAGCTGAATAGGAAGAAGTTTCCTGTTCTCCTGGGATTGATTCTTGTTTTCTTTCTTGTCTCCTAAATTTATTAGCCATATGGTATGCAGTAAGGAAATAATTTAATTTATCACCTTGTTCTCCAGAAACCTGAAAAACAAAACAAAAAACAAAACAAAACAAAACAAAAAGAAAACCACATTTGAAAGGCAGATCCTCACCAGCAGCTGGTCCATCTCCTACAGGGGACCATATTCTAGTGGACTTTTGGTGCACTTGCCTGAACCAAAAGGGCACTCTATGTAGGCAGAAGAGATTTTTTTATGAGGGAGAGGCAAGGGGAGGAGGAATGTTCTAGACAAGTCAAATCTATTACTGTGCCACCTCCTGTGCCAGGATGGGAACTGAGGGTGCTTGAAATGTAAAAGGTACAGACAGCAGCACAAGGTGCCATTTTGCTTTTTCAGTTTTTCAAGGAAGTGATTTTGATTTCCAAATCACAAAGCCCCCCCCCAGCATCATCCCTCCTACCACAACCTGAAAGCTTCTTGATTCTGTTTTCAAAAACACAAGGGACACCTCAGAGGTCAGCAAGTTCTGCCAGTACAGCCCTCGGTGCCCCTGTCTCCCTGTCTGTCACGCTTGCTTTCATCTTCAGCCACGTAATTCTTCTACTGTGGACAGGACAATTGTTCCCATTTCTCCTGTACTTCTCTGGTTACCTTTTCTCTAAGCTGCGCAGGACCCATGTGAGGAGGCTGTGATCCTCTGTCAGCTCATAGGCAGCTCTGGTGGCACGGGCAGCACTTTGTAATATCTCCAGAATACAACTCTTGAAACAGAAAATGAAACTTGTTCTTTTACAGTTAGGATCTAATTTTCTAATTTAAAATTAGCAATTTGGCTGGTATCTGATCAGCTCCAAGGTAAAATGAACACCACCAGTTCTGAGCAGCTCCAGAGAAGGAAAGACATTCTCCCTTCAAAGCTTCATACCACAGGTGCTGCTCTTACAATAAGTATTCAGGTAGCAAGACAATTTTATCTTTTTGTCCAAGGTTTTGGTACCTGAAATACTCAGATGGATACTCCCAAACCTGAGAGCTCCTGGCACGTGAGTTTCCCTCCTGCTGAAGGACTTTACAGGTAACAAATGTGCTGGCTGGGGAATAGACACCCCCAAAAAAGAAAAGGAGCAAAACTACGGCACCCACATGAGGCTCCATGATGGCAGGAACCGGTTCCAGTTTCAGGGATAAGGATGGGACTGGTTTAGACACAAGCTATTATTTCCCCCTCCACACATACACAAAACCAACATGGAAGAGATTTTCAAGAGGACCAAGGCAGACACAAGCTATTATTTCCCCCTCCACACCTACACAAAATCAACATGGAACAGATTTTCAAGAGGACCAAGGCAGAGACAGCTGTTCCTTTCTGTTTTGTACTTGAGATCTCGAAGCTGTGCAAGCTTCTGTGGTTTGGGGTTTTTTGGTACTTTCTTTTTAAATTCTTACCTGGGAGCCCTCTTCACAAAAAGGACTGTTGAAAAAGTAAAGAATGACCTGGAAAATCCTCTGATAGTCATAAAACTCATAGCAATGTTTGTCACACAGCCCTTTCCCAAGAAATCTGAGTATCCATTCATGCTCTGTTTTGTATGAGAAGCCACAAAGAAAAATATTACCTTTAGACATTCCAAAGAATACCTGCTCCTAAGAGCACAAAACCCTGGGCCAGTTCAGGGCTTGCCACAGCTTGTTCTGGACTTGTCCATTTCCATTCCTATCAGATGTAACCACTAACATCCATGGGGAACAGTCCGCCTGCAGCCCAAGGCTGCAGAGGTGATGGAATTTCAGGGGGAGGGTTGGGGGCTGCAGTACCAGCTCTGTCCGTAAGGCGACAGGAGGAGCGATTTTCCCCTTGGAAAATCCTCAGAACTCAATGGCCCAAAAACCCCGCACGAAAACTAAAAAAAAAAACAAAACCAACCCTGCCTCTAACCAAATAAAACCCCAAAACCCGTTTCTTTTAAACTAGAACTACTTTTTATTTTTATGTTTTTCGTATTCACATTTACAACATCTATTCCTATTATTTATATTTATTGATATTTTATGCTTTTATATATATCTCTATATATTTATTATACATTTCTGTATTTAGATTTATATTCCTTAAATACTTATGTTAGTTAAAATAAAAACCATGCCTCTAACCAAATAAGAACAAAAACCTCCTTTCTTTAAAACTGTATTTAAATATTTTTATATTCATATTTTTCATAATTATATTCAGTTACATTTGTTTTTTATACTGATGTGTTTTATTTATATAATAATGTGATATTATAAATACAGTATTATTTATCATATGTATTTTGACGATTTCTAAGACTTATAATTATTTCTATATTTTTATGTATATCTTTATATATTTATGATACAGTTCTATATTTAGATTTATATTTTAATCATTATTTTCTTTCTATTATTTATAGTATGAGCCCTGCCCTTCAAAGTAAAAAAAAAAACCCAAAAAATTCCATTATTTAAATTATATTTAAATATTTTTTAGATTTATATTTTTTGTATTTTTTATATTTATATTCACATTTACATCTATTGTTTCTTTGATGTATTATATTTACATCGTTATATTTACATTATTATATTACATATATAACATACATCACAATATAATAATGTAAATACAGTATTTTTTCTATTATATATCTACCTCTAATACTTATATTTACTTCCATTTTATATTTTTATATATGAATTTCTTTATTTATGATATAGTTCTATATTTAGATTTCTATTTTTATATTAATTATAATTTTATAATAAAAACGCTACCTAAAACCAATTAAAAAATAAAAAAACCCCTTTATTTTAACCATATTTTAAATTTTTTCTGTTTTTCATATTTATATTCACGTTTACATTTATAATTTGTTATATATAATCTTATAATCTATTGATGTACTATATTTATAGACCTATTAAATATTACACATAATGAATTACAACATCATAAGATATACACAGTATTATTAATTGTATCTACTTCTATTATTTTGTATTTATTTATCTTTTGTCTTTCCCTATCTGTATACATTTCGTATATATGCCTGTATTTCTATTTTTACATCTTTCATGTTTGTATTTGTAATCTATATTTCTATATTTTACAGAAACATATCATGGATATGAAACATTATAGTATCTTCTAGCAATATGTAATATTACGTTGAATATATATTTTTTATTTAAATGTTATATCCACATTTTATATTGCCACTTCCATTATTTCTGTATTTGTTTTGTTTATTTACAGTTGTATGGCAGGGAGGCGGTGGGACAGGACGGGACGGGACAGAGGGGAGGGGACAGAGGAGACGGGACAGAGGGGAGGGGACAGAGGGGAGGGGACAGAGGGAGGGGACAGAGGGGAGGGGACAGAGGGGACGGGACAGAGGGGAGGGGACAGAGGGGAGGGAACAGAGGGAGGGGACAGAGGGGAGGGGACAGAGGGGACGGGACAGAGGGGAGGGGACAGAGGGGAGGGAACAGAGGGGAGGGGACAGAGGGAGGGGACAGAGGGGACGGGACAGAGGGGAGGGGACAGAGGGAGGGGACAGAGGGGACGGGACAGAGGGGACGGGACAGAGGGGACGGGACAGAGGGAGGGGACAGAGGGAGGGGACAGAGGGGACGGGACAGAGGGGACGGGACAGAGGGGACGCCGCGCTCGGCCGGGCAGAGGCACGGGCCCCTGCCAAGATGGCGGTGCTGAGCGCCTGCAGTGCCGCTCTCTGGCCGCAAGGCGGCGGCACTGAGCTGCCGCCAGCTCACCGGGGCTGCCGCGCGCCTCGGGGCAAACAGGAACGGGCGCGATTCCCTTTAAAACGTCCCCTAAAGTAAATGCCCCGAAACATCCCGCACGAAAAAAACCCTGCCTCTAACCCAATGAGAACCAAAATAAAAAACTTTTTCTTTTAAACTATATTTAAATATACCTCATTTTTATATTTTTCATATTTATGCTCATAATGTATATTGATGTATATTTATATTCTGTATTACCTCTATTCCTATTACTTATATTTATTTATATATTTTTGTACATATCTTTATACATTGAGTATATATTTCTATATTTATATTTATATAATGTTTATATTGTTTAAAATAAAATTCCATGCCTCTAACCAAATAAAAACAAAAAAAGCCCCTTCTTTTAAACTGTTTTTAAATATTTTTATATTTATATTTTTAATATTTACATTCACATATTAATAACTTATACTGTATAATATATAAATATAATGTATATATGTTATAATGTTAATAATACTCTATATTACATATCTGCCTATTACTTATATTTATTAATGATTAATATTTTATATATATCTTTATACATTTATTATATATTTCTATATATAGATTTGTATTTATATAATACTTATATTATTTAAAATAAAAACCCTTCATCTAACCAAATAAAAACCAAAGATGTCCTTTTATTTAAGTTATATATGAATGTTTTAAATATGTATATTTTTCATAATTATATTCACATTTACAAATTATATTTATGCATTATATTTATATAATAAATATACATTATAATATATATTTTTATTATATTTATCTATTATTTATATTTATTAATATTTTATATACATATATATACTATATGTATTATATATATTATATATACATATATTTCTATATTTGGATTTATATGTCTATATTATTTGTATTTATATTATTTATAAAAAGCCCCTGCCTATAACCTAATAAAAATAAAAAACTAAACCCACTTTTTAAAAATCTATATTTAAAATCTATATTTATTATATTTTTGTATATATATAATAGACTATATTTTTTATATATTATAATGTTAAAATAATAGATATAATAGTTTTATGTATTTATTTTTTCCATATTTATATTTACAGTTATAATTTTATATTTATTTCTAAATTTATATTTATTCATATTTTAAGCTATATATTAAACCATATAAATTCATTAACCTAACACATCAGAACCACAAAAATATGAAATCCTTGTCAGCACTAATATGCAGTACACACTAATCCCATCACATATAAATTCAAAACCTATTTCTATTACTAACGGAACAAAGAACCCACAACATTTAAAAACGGAAATAATCCTAAATAGAAATTAATTTTGAAATCCCATTATAACTAGCCCAAAACCTCAATACATTCGAATCATAACTTCCTCCTAAACCAGTATCTCAAAAACCCAAAAAACTCAAATACACATTTAAAATGAAATAAGTACTAATAAACACCAAAAATCCCAGAAAAGAAAATCAAACCAACTCACTAAACTCAAAACTGTACAACTGATCCTAAACATTACTAAAAAAAGCCCCAAAAGCTCTACCTTTATGTTACTTCACAAATAATAACCAATAACATATAAAAATAATTTTAAAAATAAAAAACTAATTAAAAGCATCAAAATAAAAAATCTAAACTATCAAAATGTTAAAAATTATCACTACTCGACTTAACAAAAATTCCTATAAAAACCCACCATATAAATGTCCATGTCCCCAAAAATAAAAATAATAAAAAACACCGAACATGAAATAAATTGAAACTTATCAACTCTAAAATCATAAAATTCAAGAAGTAGACCATATCCCTTATCATACACCAACTGCAAACAAAATAAACCAATGCAATAAATTATTAAAAACCACCTTAAAACCTCTACATAAAAAAACTTTCAAAACTGCATCTAACAAATGCCATCGAATAAATTAACACCCAAAACTCCAGCAGCTGAGCTGTCCCTACCAAATCTGTATGTTTATACATACAATAAACAAAACCAAAATCCCAGTAATACATATCAAAAGCCTATTAAAAAAGCAACCTATTGAAATTAATTCTACCTCAAATACAAACACACCCATCCCTAAAGTTATGTTCATTCCAAATTACACATAGTAAATAATACCAAAAGATAAAACAACACACTATATACCACCAAAGAATATAACATTGAAGGAAAAGAAATCCCATTTTTTTCTTTTTTTTAAAACTAATTTATTAGCTAAA